TGAGAAAAAGGAGCAGCGCATGAACCGAACACAATACACGCGAACTGAACCGAGACAGTCGAACCGAACGGTAGATGGGTATTTATATAGATGGAAATTCATAGCTATTGCATCAAATGATGTAAAGGCTTTGCAGCCTTTTGGTTCTGTAGTTAACCATCTGGTCCACTTCAGGTTCTGCCATCTGAAAGCGATCCAGGAGGAGTTCAGACGGAGCTTTGATCAGTTGACCATGCCGAGCTTGGTTCTTTACGGCCGTTTACACATCACGCTAGCACAGTTCCTTGCCTCCTAGTGGTGATCTACTGTACTACTGCTCTCTAAGATTGAAGGAGGAAATCATGCTAATCAAAATGGCGTCGCCCTTATTATTTAGGAAGTTATGTTTGGTTATAATTGTGATATTTGGTTGTTTGCGGAGAGTCCGGCAAATAAGGTGGCCTTTGGTGAGTTTACTTGTCATCTCTCCAGGTATATACCCCCATGCACCTTTTCCTCCTTTTGGCTCCTTCTTATTGACTATTGAGCCATTGTAACAAGTACATTTGCCGCCTCCTCTTCTTGCTCTGTTTCCCTGGCGCCTTTTCACATGTACCGTGGTCTTTCTCATGGTCAGCCGCAGCATCTCTTCTCCACCTTCTCTAGCCAGCCTTGGCTCAGTCGTAGCCTCGCCTCCTTCAGCGCTTTGTTAGTCCAGCAAACGTATCCGATCTGCTTCAGTCCTCCACAGGCCTATCTGGCTGCAGTCCCATAACGGCGATCTGTACAGTCACTGGTTTGTCAGGTCTGAGCTGCCGTAGAGCAAAGATGTCTTCCTCCTTATAAAGGTGACCCTTCTCCTAGGTAATTATGAATAGCAAATTCTAAGGCAAGCCACGCATAAGGATTGAGACTTTCCCTTTATAGATGATAAAAGATCACATGCTTATGTTTAATATGTTACATTTCTGTCAGGAAATCCCTGAAATGAATACAGACTAGCTTTAAGTGGGTGATAGAATGATTCTATAGGGTATCTGGTCCTTAAGGTCTCAGAATAGGGTGTGTAACATTGGTTGGGCTGAAAATGGCATATTTGCTGTTCTATGAGCCCTAATGCAGCCTGGTTAAAAGCCCTAGAATGAAACGACAGGTTTTCTTCCTTTTATGGTATGATCATGAATATTTAGATGAGCTGTGCTCTGATTGGTTGGTTTACAACGAGCGAAGCTGCTGAGCAAAAACGCATCATAGGAAAAAGCACTCACTCACTGAAACATCAAATTGTTCATATGGTAGGGTGACCATGTCCTACTTTTCATACCCCAAAAAATATCCAGGGAAAATTTCAATTTTGGTCGATTACAGTGAAGCAGAACCAAGGCTTGTCCGGGAACCCCGGCGGACGGCGGCAGGGAGTCAGCGGGGGACGGATTGACCGACTCGGTGATGGTAGATACCGGTAATAATAATAATCTGGTCACCATAAATACAACTTAGCAACTGAATCATCCTTCCAGCTGGCGGTTGTGATGGCCTTACGGTGGGCACAGCCCCTCGTTTCAATAAAAGAAGTTTAGCAAATCCTGCTTTAAACTTTCCTAGATTTTGAAAGCTGTCTTCGGTAAAATGCTTAAAGCAAATGAACAGCTGAGCATCAAACTTTGCAGGGATCTTCTGATAGACAAAAATAATCCATGTCTGTCGGGTCTTCGGATCTTTGGGGAGACTGAAAATTTTCCTCTTTCTCCGGTCAGCCTAGAACACTGCATTTACTGTATGACCATTTCCGGGGCGTGGCAAAAGTCCAGGCCAGAACCAAATAAGGTAACATCCCTCAGTTTACTTTAACTCGGTGCTTCTTTGGGATTCGCCCGTTTTATGGTGGAAGTTTAGAATTGTTAGATTTGCAGAGAAAGGAGGTGTCTATGGGGTTTGAACTTCTCTGTACGTCCATTTCACCCACTGAACGATTGTTATTCATCTATGACAACGTAAACAAGGTTTTGCATTCAATGACCCCTTCAACCTTGACAGCTATACCAAATTTTGTCTGATGTATAAAATCCCAATCAAAAAGGTTTTTGTTTATCATGCTACAAATGTGGAGAGGTCAGAGGCCTATGAAAACTTTTAGAAGGATGGATGGGGATAATAAAGCTCTTCCTTTTACTGCCGCTCAACCAAAGTCAGTAAAGTTTGAGCTGTTTGCCTGCAGCTCCAGAGCGAGCAGCTGGAAGAGAAGCTCCTCTAATCTCACCTCCTTCATCGGCGTTAAACTCCGTCTCTCTTGATCAGAGCTCCCCTGGCTGTGCAGCTCTGCTCCAGGATTATCATCTGAACCTTTTTCAGTCCTGATTTAACGCTCACCTTGGAGGCAGAGCAAACTCTTCTCCATCATCATATCTGCACTTTGTTGTGACTCTTTATCTCTGCAGATTCTCTCCTGCCTCAGTCCGTCCTCCTCTGGGAGGATGGAGACGTGTTTATCGCTGTGATCTTGGATGCTGCTAACATCCTGCTTGTTGTTTTCTCTTCTTTGTTGCAGGATGTGGTTTTGGCCTCTGGGTTCACGGTTGGTAAATCTCCCACTGCTAATAAGGACAAGCTTCACGCCTGTAACCTGCTGCTGTCAGGAGATGATGCATCCATCTATGTGAGCAGCGTCTTTAACTGCTGTGGGATCTAAATTCATTGGCAGCAGAAGTCATTTATGGATAAATATGTTTAATTTGAATGCTGTTGACTCCATGAACCAAACACCAGTAAAATAATCTGCAGTGCAGTAAGAATAAACTGGACTGATTATAACTCTGCAAAAGCAGCTCAGTTCAATCCTCCTAAGCTATTTTGATCACTGAGATGGGTTGTGACCCTCTAGTGGGTGGAGAATGAACTGCAGCATATTGGTCAGATTCACTGAGTTTTATCTCTAAATAAATGAGTTTTCCTCAGGGATTAAGACCTGAAAGCTGAAGAATTATTCTTAGAGATTATAGAAAAGCCCTCTGGTCTGAACCGGTTCTATTTCTCCTGGGATAAAGTCCAACTGATGTTTTCTGCAGGTCTCCAAGCAGAAGCCTGCTGAGCCCAAATCACCACTGGCCAGGAAGAGGAGCTCCTTGATTCCTGCAGAGGTGAGTCGGAGCTCATAGACCTAGAATGGTTTATTCTGCAGTTCCCGTTCCAGTAGAACCACAGCCCACTGCTTGCATCTGTAACAGCAGCATACTGACACTGGGTGCAGGGCAGCTATTGGTTAGACTGACTCAGACTCTAAATGTTAATTAGCACAAACAGTTAGCCCGGCTGCTAGTGCTCTTCAGCACTGCTTCTCTTTTCAGGGTTCCAGGGCAGCCAAGGGTCCAAAGTACAGCTATGTGCATCTGGATCAGCTGAAGGATAAATCTGTGGTGAACGTCTATGGAGTGGTGACGTTCTTCAAGCAGCCGTTCAAGACCCGGGGTACAGGTGAGTTCAAGGTCTGATAGCTGACCTCAGAACAGCTGAGAGAGGAAATGGCCCCCTGGTTCCTTGGTGCAGGAATTTCTCTCCATCAGAAAAGCTTTGACTCATTGCAAAGTCTGACTCATTGCAATGATTCCCAAAATACATCCTTGTGTTGATCTAAAGCAGGGGTCGGAAACACGTGGCTCCAGAGCCACATCATAGATTTTGGAATTATAATTCAAATAAGTTACTTTATTTTGTCATAAGTTGACACCCTTAGGCATGAATGATTATTAGCTGATTATTAGAACAGATCCATGTGGAGCGCAGCGCCATGACATCTGGGATCAACAGGGGAGCTTAGGTCCAGTTGCCTCCACCTCATGGATGTAGTCTTGGTTGTTCCTGAACATTTTTCGCCGTTAACCGGGTACTTGCCGTTAACCGCTTGATTGCCGTTAACCGGGTGTTCGCCGTTAACCGGGTGTTCGCCGTTAACCGGGTA